AAAATAAAAATTATAATAAGTGGAGAAGAAAGGCCGGGGGAGAGGTTGATTTGGATCAAGTGCCAGGGGTGATGGGCACGGTCTCGAAACAGCAGCAATGAGTGAAAAGCAGAAGCAGATCATCTCATTTCCCCTCCCGCTCCGGAACGGGGGCTCCTCTCATGAATAAAAGCAAGAGCTCAGGTCGTGCAGCAGCGAAACAAAGCTGGGGCTCTGCCCTGGAGCCAGCCAAGCTTGTCTGGAGCTCTGGAGCTGCCTGCAGCAGGGCTGACACCGGCGCAGGGGAGCGTGACCGGCAGGGCTGGGGCTCTGGGGGCTGCAGAGCTGCTGCTTTTGGCTCTGTGGGTTGGTCTGGTTGTGCTGAGGAGCTGGGGAGGTTTTGTTGGGTGAAGTTTGGTGAGTGCTGAGTGGGGGAAGCGCTGCCGGACCCTGCAGTGCAGCAGCACAAACCCCAGAGTGGCTCCTCCAGCCCGGGCTGGGGAGATCAGGACTGATCCAGCCCGGGCTGGGGTGATCAGGACTGATCCAGTCCGGGCTGGGGATCCCTCTGCAGCTGAGCTGGGCTTCAGTGCGGCCCAACGCCCAGCAGCGCTGAGCTGAGCTCGTCTGTGGGGTGCTCGTGATGAACTGAGGGTCACCCCAACCAGCCCTGGCCCCTGCTGGACTCGGGGTGCCCCCAGCTCCAGCTGTGCCCCCAGCTCCAGCTGTTCCCAGCTCCAGCTGTTCCCAGATCCAGCTGTGCCTCCAGCTGTGCCCCCAGCTCCAGCTGTGCCCAGCTCCTGGTGTGCTCCCAGCTCCAGGTGTTCCCCCAGCTCCAGCTGTGCCTCCAGCTGTTCTCAGCTCCAGCTGTGCTCCCAGCTGTGCCTCCAGCTGTGCTCCCAGTTCCAGCTGTGCCCCCAGATGTGCCCCCAGCTGTGCTCCCAGCTGGCCCAGGCAGCCGCCGGGGAAGCCCAGGGAAGCTCTGCCGTGGCCCTGGGCTCACATCTGTCCCTCAGAGCTCCACGGGTGTCACTGCAGCCTCTGCTGGGGCAGGAGGAGGAGGAGGAGGCCTGGCTGGAGGTGGGAGGAAGGCTCTTGGCCAGAGGAGGCTGTGGGGCAGAGCGGTGCTGTGTGTGATGTTCCCCAGGATGAGGTTAAAGCATCCCTGGAGCTGTTGGCACGGCTCCCCAAAGCAGTGTGAGGTACCTGGGTGAAGGGCAGGCAGCACAGAGCTTTCTCCAGCCTGGCAAACATTCCCAAATGGAATTGCTCTCGGCTGCCTGTGCCAGGGATCCCTCCGTGCCTCAGAAGGGCCCGCAGAGCTCGGGATTTTAGCCCTGGGAGCAGCAGGATCCCCTTGGAGGTGCGAGGCAGGAGAGAGCTGCCCCCCACAGCAAATCCAAGGTTTCCCAGTGTGGAATTTGGAGTTGCCATCGGGAACGGCCCTTCCCGTGGCTCTGAGAGCTCCTGCAGCATCTCCATGGATTGAGAGAGCCCGGCTGCCCTGGGCCACCAGGGAGGGAATCCCAAACCCATGGAGGGAATCCCAAACCCATGGAGGGAATCCCAAACCAATGGAAGGAATCCCAAACCAATGGAAGGAATCCCAAACCAATGGAAGGAATCCCAAACCAATGGAGGGAATCCCAAACCCCCCAGGGCCTGCTCTCCCCGGAGGGGATCTCCAGCGGCTGCTGCTCTTTCCCTAAGGGTGGAAACGCGGAGTTAATTCAGAGAGCCCAAATAACTCACCCCTCTCCCCTCCCTCTCCCCGTGAATGGGGTCAAGGAGATTTGGGAGGGGAGGGGGTCAGGAGAGGTCAGGTGGGTTTTCCATCGCATCCCGAGGAGCCTGCCAGAGCTATTCTCCATGCTGCATTTCCCATTCAGCGCCGCTGAATGGGCGCTGAGAGCTGTGAAAGCTCCCCCAGCTCGCTCCCCTTGAGCTCTCTCCCACCCCTTCTTCCAGAGGGCTCCCAGGGAATTCACAAAGAGCCCCTGGGAAGGTTGGGGATGGAATGTTTGGGGTTGTGAGAGGGGAGATTTTGCCTTTCCCTCTCTGTGGGTGCCAAACCTGCTGTGGGCAGGGAAGGTGAGGATCAGCCCTGGGGGCGGCTGGGTTGGAGCAGCCCCACCTGAGCCAAGGGATTTCCTTTCCTAAGGGAAAAAGGCAGCCCTGACAGGTCAGAAATATTTAATAATAAAACCATCAAGCGGTTTGGGTTGGAAGGGGTTTAAAATCTCATTTTGTTCCACTCCCATGCCACATGCACGATCACCTTCCACCATCCCAGGATGTTCCAGCCTGGGCTTGGGCACTTCCAGGGGTGGGGATAGCCACGTTTTCTCTGGAAAACCCATTCCAGTGCCTCAGCATCCTCACCCTGAATCAAATTCTCTGCTGGCTGGTCACTGCTGTTTGTTGAGCTGTGGAGGAGGTGCACAACCACCACAAATCAAAGCCTGCAGCCACATTTAACGTCATCTCTTGCTCCCTCTGCTCCGGTTCCAGGGATTATGGAGTAGCAGGACATGGATTCCTCCAGGAATAAACCAGTTTTTTCTCTGCCTTGTAAGTACACCCACATTTTAATTTTGAAATAGCCAGCCCTCACTCTTCACTCTAAACACTGCTGAGATGTGATTTCCTCTAGGACTCTGTGCTGGGAAGATTTAGGAGATTGGGAGGAGGAGAATCCTCTTTGTGTGTGTTTCCATCAATGCCCTGCACCTTTTCCAGGTGTTTTGGGGTTGGTTTTTCCTAAAATCTTCCCTGGCTTCATCCTCTCCTCTGCCTTTGTCCAGCACCGCTCTGCTCCTGCCCTGGACCCGCCCTCCCACCTGGCTGCCAGGTGAGGCAGCCTCCAGGAGTTGATCTCCTGTTTCTCTGCAGGGAAAGGGGAGGAAAAGTTGTGTTTGTGAGCTTTAAAAACAACCCAGGAGGCCGTGGAGATGGTTTGGTTTTCCCCAGGGAGGGAGAAGGAAGAGCAGCTGATGTCCCGTGGCACGCCAGCTCCAGGAAAAGCCCCACATGTGGCTCCCTTCTGCTCCCAAGCGCAGGAAACATCCAAAAATCCCTTTTTTGGGGGGCTGCTGTTGTCTTTGTCAAGGTGCTCTTTGAGCAGGAAAGGACAAATTCTGCTCCTGATGTGGGAATTTGGGGAAACTGAGGCTGGAGGGGGAGAAGTGCCAGGGTCACCTGGACCAGCTGCCCCCGTGGGGCTGTGGAACATCTCCAAAACCCCTCTGGGATGGGCAGGGTGCTGCTGGAATTCCAGCTGGGAATGGATTTTCCTGACTCCTTCCATGCCAGAGCCAAACAGAGTCCAGGGGATAAATCCCCCTGGGAAAGGTTGGATTTGGGGATTTGGGGTTTGAGGAAAGGCTGTTTGATCTTGCTGCTGGGGCTGTCACTCAGGGCCAGCCCTGCAAAGCTGCAGGGACGTGGTGCTGCTTTAAAAAGAAAACACCAACCCCTCGTCCTGAATCTGCAGCACAGCCCAGCGAGGGAGGGTGATAAATACGAATATCAGGGTTTTTTGGGGGGCAGAAGTCAGGTGTGAGCCCAGAGCTGGGGTTTCCTCAGGGCAGCTCCCTTTGGGGGGGTGCCAGCAGCGTTTGCTCAGCCCTGAGCGAGGGGCCCGGGCGTGCGGTGTCAATAACTCCGCTGTTATCAGCAAAAAGGGAGGGCCCTGAAACCAAACCTGCACTGGGTTCCACCTCTGCTGCCCTGCAAACACTCAGCTGTGTGCACCTGCCAGGAACCAGGTGAGTCCTGGCTCCCTGAGCCTCCCAAACCTCCCTTCTCCAGCCCCTCTGTCCTCACAAATCAGCAGTTCAGGTGATTTTCCTGCTCAGCGCTTTTCTGTGTCGCTCTTCTGTGGGAAAAATTTACAGTAATTAATGGGCATTGGGATAAAGTTCATCATCTGCTGCAATTTTATCTGCAGCTTTATTGCGGGTTGAGACTCCTCTGGCTGTTTGTGATTGCTGCTCCAGGGATTTATTTTCTCCTTAAAGCCCTCTGAGGGTGTGGAGAGGGAGGAGAGGTCTGCTCCTACCTGCAGACAAGAAATCCAGCTCTGCCTCCACACTGCAATCCTCAGGTGGATGGACAGATCCCTGCTGCCTCCCCAGTGCTCTGGCACAGCACTAAAAGGGAAAAAAAAACAATTTTGAATCTGTGTGAAGCATCTTTTGGGGTTTATTTCGGGATAGCTCCCCCTCTCTTACAGCGGACACTACATCCCCCGCCCAGGGCCGGCTCTGAGCCGTGGTGGCTCGCTTCATTTTGTGACTCTGGGTTTGTGCTGCTGGGGCTGGAATTCCTCCTCCCAGGGCTGGGATGCAGCTGGGCACCCTCTGAACCGAGCCAGGCTGACACATCCTGTGTGTGAGCCACGTCTGAGCAAGGTGGAGGGATGCTCTGGAGGGATGCTCTGGAGGGATGCTCTGGAGGGATGCTCTGGAGGGATGCTCTGGAGGGATGCTCTGGAGGGATGCTCAGCCCTCCTGTGGCTGCTGAGCCTTCAAAGCCCCTGGTGCTTGAAGCAAAACCATTGCTGTTCCCCCTCTGTTTGCTGTTTGACCTCGGGCAAGGCGTTTAAATGTGGAAAAGAGGGATCTTCTGTGAGGTGAAGGCTCCCAAAAGGGGAATAATTGCTATTTATCGGGCGGTACCGGCAGCTCCCGAGCTCAGGAGTGGCATTTCTCCACAGCAGCAAGAGGCAGGGAGCGATGGCTGAGCCTCATCCCCACCCTGCCAGCCTCCCCCAGCCACCCCCTGGTGGGTCATCAGCTGATGGTGACACGGGGGGAGAGAGAAAAGTGACAAAACCGTCCGGTCTGTGCCTGCCCGCACACACCTGGGCAGCGAGGGGGGCTCGGGGTGTCACCAGGCCACTGCCCCAGGAGCTGGGAGCAGATCCTGCTGGGCTGGCTGCCGGGGACCTCCGAGCTGCTGCTCCCTCCTGGCTCAGCCCCTGCCCCATCCCCTGGCCTCTCCCCTCCGGAGAAGCCGGAGAGAAGCGAGCAGGGCAAATAAATGACTCAGTCTAATGAGTAAGGTAATTGCCATTCGCTGTTAGATGAGGCTAAAGTGGGTCAGGTTTGTTTGTGAAACTCCACGGAGGCACCATCTGCTCCCTGTGTCCCATCCTGGGGGCTGGGGATGGGGTTTGGGTGGAATTGCTTCCCTGGGAGCCTGGGGAGCAGCGCTGGGGTGTCCTGCTCATCAGGCAGGGCCGTGGTGGGCTCTGGGGATGGCCCCGTGTGGCTGCAGGTGCTCCCCTGATCCTTGCAGGGGGCTCTGAAATGATTTCCCTGGGAGAGGAGACCCCAAATCCTTTCTGCCATCTGGGAGAGGTGGCTGGACAGGATGGAGAGGTCATCAAGCCTCCAGGGCAGGACTGGCTTTTCCCAAACCCTTGTGAAGACAAACCTGGCACGGACCGAGCTTTCACCTTTAACCTGCCCCTCTCCCAGAGCCCGTTGGGACGGGGACTGTCCCTCCCAGCAGTGACACATCCGTGTGGCCCCTGGATTTCCCTGTTCCTCACTGTGTTTAACGCTCTCTCCCCACAGCCTGTGAGCAGCAGGGGAAACCTGCAGCAGGATCCCTGCCCGGGCTCTCCACATCCCACCAGAAGAGGAAGAGGAAAAGACGGTTCCTTCGCCGTTGATAAAATGGGAAGCAGCATCTCGCCAGCAGCCCGGGAAGGGAAGCTCCAATCCTTGCCTGGGGGGCATCCCTGGGATCTCTGCAGCTGGCAGGACACGGCCCTGTGCCACTGAGGGGTGGGGACAGCGTGGCTGGGGACAGCATGTCCTTCCAGAGCCGCCGGAGCCAGCTGCTGCTGGTCAACTCGCTGACCTTCGGGCTGGAGGTGTGCCTGGCCGCCGGCATCACCTACGTGCCCCCGCTGCTGCTGGAGGTGGGCGTGGAGGAGAAGTTCATGACCATGGTTTTGGGTAGGCAGCTTTGGTCACCTCTCTGAGGTTTTTTTTTATTCCAAAATAAAATGGAATAATTTGGAGGGTGGGGGTGAGGAAGGGCGGGGAGAGCTGCTCCCTGCAGGGGACCCACCAAAACCTTCCAAATTCCCAAAACATCCCGTTTTGGGGGCGCAGGCAGAGCAGCCGTGTCCCTGTGACACCCCCTGTCTCTTTCCCAGGGATAGGCCCTGTCCTCGGGTTGGTTTTTGTGCCGCTGATCGGCTCGGCCAGCGACCACTGGCGCAGCAGCTACGGCCGGAGGAGACCTTTCATCTGGCTGCTGTGCCTGGGGGTGCTGCTCAGCCTCTTCCTCATCCCCCACGCCAGCAGCCTGGCCAGCCTGTGTGCCCTCAACCCCCGGCCTCTGGAGATCGCCTTCCTCATCCTGGGCATCGGGCTGCTGGATTTCTGCGGCCAGGTGTGCTTCACCCCGCTGGAGGCCCTGCTCTCCGACCTCTTCCAGGAGCCGGACAACTGCCGCCAGGCCTTCTCCGTGTACGCCTTCATGATCAGCCTGGGGGGCTGCATCGGCTACCTGCTGCCAGCCATCGACTGGGCCTTCCTGGCGCCCTACCTGGGAGGCCAGCAGAGCTGCCTCTTCAGCCTGCTGGCCCTCATCTTCCTCGCCTGCGTGCTGGCCACGCTGTTTGTGACGGAGGAG